AGACTACCTCCATATCTAGTAACTGCTATGGCATTCTTGAAGGAACAGGATATTTCTAGAAAACAGGTGGCGTGATACTAGTCACGTGACCTCGCTGACGCAACAATGCAAACAATAATAAGTGTGTTTAAAATTTTTGAAACACACACACACGATAAGTTGTAAAGTTTGAAATAATTTAACTTTTTAATCGTATTAATAAAGTGGGCCTGAATGAGCTGTATCAGTGACTATTTTATTTGTTGAATTGGCCTTCTTGTAACTATTTGTCTGATGACAGCTGATAACGATAAATTATGCCTCTTTTGTTCTTGTTGTTGTCATTATTTTTACGCCTATTTCGTGCACACGGCATAACCAGGGGAGGGCACTTGTCCCCCCCCCCCTGGAAATTGAGAAATATAATTCTTTCTTTAGTCATTCATCATATGTATATAATTTTTTATATACAATTCACAATTTCACACTACTTCCCATGAAAAAATGTCTGCGAACCCCCATGTTATTGCAGTATAATATAAAGGCACTCTTATGCAATCATCGTTGTTAATATCTCGTCTCCTGTATGTGAGAAAACTCTGTTTACTTTTCAGATGGGACAGTATCCGTTAATGACGCCAAAGTTATCAAGGCTGACATTTCCACAGGGAATGGCGTCATTCACGTAATTGATCGCCTTCTCGTAACGTCACCGGATGTAGACGTTTTTGATAACCGTTCTCCAGGTACTTAGATTGATTTATTAGTTGTTTTAACACTTTTCTTATGATATGATTTCATAAAAAAAATCCACCAACCTAATTATTCTGTACTAAGAGAGCATCTGAGTAAGTGAGTAAATTAAACACGTGTGAGATCAGTAGACCACTATTTATAGTTTTTAACTATGTTAATCTATATACGTTTGCTCTTTATGTAGTTAAATAATTTATTGAGAACTGAATTATTTTATATAATACTTTAACTTGGGACTACTGTTTATTAGTATGTATTAGGTAGTGGATTTTATTTTCATAAAATGGAAACTTGCCAGTATATTCAAATAGTTTTTTTTCAAACTTTATTTTCTCCAGATTCTGTAAGTGGTTCACAGGCCAAGGCAAACATTGCTGAACTGGCACGTGGAATGGGAGTGGAAACTTTCTTTAGTTGGCTGACAGAAACCGGACTGGACAACGTCATACAAGATGGAGGTGAATTTATAACCCACAAGGGTTACGGGCTGTTACATTAAAGAGATTAGACACACTTATTCCTGAGTAGATAGAGAGTACACCTTTAGAAAAATAACTAACATATATCATCAGTAGAACGACTACACTTTTTTAAAACCACCCTGTACAAAAACTCTTCTTTGCTTAATTCTGTTTTGAAAAATGTTTTCTTGTAAGCAGAAGTATGGTTATTACCTCCGCAACCTAAGTGGACGAAGGTTATGTTTTCACCCCTGTGTGTGTTTGTATGTCAGCAAGATTTCTCGAAAACGGCTGAATGGATGTTGATGAAAGTTGGTATACATTTGGACTATGACTCAACCTAGAAGTTATTTAGTTTTTGGAGGATCGAGGTCAAAGGTCACGAAAAAAACCCCCCAAAAAAACTAACTGTTAACATGGGGACCGATTTTACACATTATTTTTCTCTAAAACTCAGTCAATAATTATCGGATTTTGATGAAACATGGCGGACATGTGTAGAATATTATTCCTCATTGTTCAGTCAAATAATGGTCTGTATCCATTGATAACGACGGACATACGAACATATTTTAGTATTTCTTGAGAGCGCACTCTACTTCTGCTTGTGTTACTTGTAAATTATTTCACGGAATATCCACAACAAATGTCATTCACCTTACTAAAAGCTATTTTATTTCATGCAATATTCACTTGTACATCATGTTGTTGTTTCACACATTTTACACTTTTTGTCAATTTCCTGAAATACGGAGAAGATTAAGCTATATAAAAATACGTTTAACAAAAAATTAAATCCATCTTTAAAAATATTATAATTTACTTTAGTGATCACGTGAACCAGGAACACCGGATATGTTTTGCGAAGTAATCGCGCCTCTTATTTTTGTTATTATTACTTAGTAGTAAACACAATACTTGATTAAAGCGATTAACACCTAAAATCCAGTAATGTATTTCTTATATAGAATGTATAAGTAAGATATCCGACAAAATATTTTACCAACATACGTAGAAAAAAAATGTATAGAGTCATATTTTTGCCGATTAAAACCTGTGGTAAGGTCAACTTTAATCAGAGCTTCTACAAAATTTGTTCTGAACAAATTTCAAGATATTAGGCGGAAGGATTTACTGCAGAGTGTTAACAAACCTCCGCGTAGCCCTACTTTTCTTACAAAGCGGCCGTACATTTCACAAAGAGAACACAAGCCTCCACGTGGCTCTACTTTTTTACATTTGTTGACTAAAGTAAAATAAGGTTATTTTCAGGTTTGATAATCATAGGCAGATTTCAAGGTACTTTTGTTGCTGTTTTTTTTTATCAGTATTGTTTGATCAAAAACTCTAGATTAGAGGTTCCTCGGACCGGTCCAATCTTTGTAAAAGACTTATGAACATTTAGGGATATATAGACCTTTAGAGCTGTGTCCTCATTTATCTGGTTGGTGTGCTGGACTATTAATCCAAGGGTCCAATGTTTGCGATCCAGACTTTGGGACCAAAAGGTGTCGGTGGGTGCTGTTCTTCCTTATCAATTCAAAATTAGGAACAGCTAGTGTAAATAACCTTTGTAACACTCTGCACGAATATCCAAAAGAAAAGAAACTTTGAAGTGGAAGTTATGAAGCTCACTTATTTTGCAATGAAATAGGAAAGAAACAACACTTTTCATCTATTACTAACGCGTGTACAAATGATAAATTCCACGAAAATAGAAACTTTCACAATACTTTGTTGTTGTTTTTTCCTTCATTCCTTTCCTTCTCGGTCTCGTTTTTCTTCTTTCATTTTCAGATGTTTCTGCGGACTGTAAAAATGTGTCTGCAGTCCGCCCAATAGCGATTGGGAACGTCCACTCTATATGTGGGTTGAAGGTGGTTAATCTTTACTATTAACATTTCATTGCCATACTGAAGTTATCTGTTGGGTTCTTGTCATTCAAGAGTTCCTTGTACTAATATACAGTATTAAATTCTACTTCGTACTTATCAGTAATATTAAAATACAAGGAGGACCTGAATCGTACTTCCTTGTTGCTGGCTTTATACAAAAGAGAAAATGTAACAAGTATTTACTAAAATACACCTTAAAGTCCATTTTACTTCAGGTAAGTAATGTCACATGAACAGACAAAACTTTGGCTTGACCAACAACACTGATTGAAAGTGAAGTACCTCGAGTCTGATCAATTGTTCTGGTAACAATGACTGAATTGAAAGTTGATCAGGCTCAAGGTACTTCACCTTCAATTCTGTCACTGTTCCCAGAACAACTGATCAGACTCAAGGTACTTCATTGATCAGACTCAATGTACTTCACCTTCAATTCTGTCACTGTTCCCAGAACAACTGATCAGACTCAAGGTACTTCACTTTCAATTCAGTCATTGTTACCAGAACAATTTGTTCTGGTAACAGTGACTGAATTGAAGGTGAAGTACCTTGAGCCTGATCAATTATTCTGGTAACAAAGACTGATGGATAAAGTAACGTGTTCTGGAAATAAAGAACTGCAAGAACAAGGCGAAACACTTGCCAAATTAAAATATGTTTATTGGTGTATTCGTCAAGGGTGTTTCCCCTTATTTGTTTTCTTCTATATGATAAATAAAGTAAGTCGATTTTGTGTAACAATGCAGCCTAAAATTACATGAACAGTTGGTATGGTATGAACGCATTTTCTAATGGACATCTAATTATGTCCATTACTGGCGTAGTATGATTATATCTAATTATGTCCGTTACTGGCGTAATATGATTATATCTAATTATGTCCGTTACTGGCGTAGTATGTTTGTTTGTTTGTTTGTTTGTTTGTTTTTGGAATTTCGCGCAAAGCTACACGAGGGTCATCTGTGCTAGCCGTCTCTAATTTA